GAAATTTATCGAAACTAGCTCACAAATGAAAACTTGCATTTTTTCTGAGTACGAAAAGTTAAGTTTATCAATTTGTATATCCCTAACTTTTACGGAAACTTTAAAATTTTTAGGAAGAACCTACATTTTGAATCAATTTTGCAGCGAAGAAAAACAAAAACAAAACACAGAGACTTAGAACTGTCAAATCGAATTAAGAATGTGCTCGTGGGAATGGGGTAATTCGCGATTCCTCAGCTGAGCATTTGTTTACATAAAAAGCCCCACTTTTCTTCAACTAAAGAAGAGTTATTTCAACAGGACAACACGTTTTAAAGAATTTAATAATGATATATGTATATTTTTGTGGACGAAGACGGCAACGGGCATGGGTCTGTGGATGCAGTCGAAAATTAAGTAATATTTGGAGTTAATAACAGCTTTTTGGACAGATATTTAATGACAATTTCTATAAAAAGCTGTTACTAACTTTAAAGTAAGTCACCTATGAAGGTATCCACTATACGAGTGGTATTTTTTTTTTAATTAAAGAGTTCTACCTTTAAGCTTAATTTTGTGTCCCTCGTTCATGGGCGTTCTCTATACAAATCACTTAATTTACTCAACTGTCAGTTGCATACGTAAGCGATGTAGAGAGCATCTATCATCTTGCTCCACGGACGCAACTCATGACCGAAAGACACAAGATCACGCAGGAAGGAAAGAAAGAAAAAATTATTTTCTAGGTATTGAAATTGTTTGTACCTGTCCCCGTAGAACTGTAAGAAGTTACTCAGGTTACGCTGAGGAATCTTAAAATTAATTTTTTCCAAAAGAACAGGACAATCTATAACACCTTTAATTAAATTATAAGTAAAAAAGAAAGAAAGTACAGACTTTTTAAAAGTACACGTGATCTATATGATATCAAAGGTTCTGAAAAATTTTGGGTAAGGATGCAGATAAAATATCGATGCATCGGAAACATCGATGTTTGCTACTATATATCGATGTATCTTTTTCGATGCATCGACTTTTGTGTGCAATGTACACTGTACATATTAAAATTATTTTGTATGCTTCCGAACTCTTTGCTCTAGTAACTATTCTTACAGATCTATTCTGCTCTGGTAATAACAGTTTTGTAACCGGTAAAAAAAGTTCTTGACAAATTTTAAACCCTTTTCGAAATCTGTGTACTCTTGTAAGCGGTAAATTTTATTACCATCTCATAAGCTAGTAACAAAGTAATGCTCCGTGATAGGGCTTTCGCACGAGGCGATTTTTTACGCAGCTTTTGCGATCAACTCATGCAGGGTTGCACGAAAAAAAAATTGAATGGATAACAATATCAAAATATAAAAAAATATACAAATATTCGCCATAAAAAGGCGTTTGCATTGTGCAACTTTGCATTCTACTTTTGGTTGAACGGCATTTTAACTAATCGCTTTCAACCAGGTTGGACGACAGCCAACCTTTAGCCATTCAACTTTTTTTCGTCCAACCCTGCGTGAGTTGAACGCAAAAGTTGCCTAAAAAATCGCCTCGTGCCATATGCAATGGCAGAATTTCCACAATTCTTCATAGCTGAATTGCTGAATATTTTAACTGCATTACCAACGTAACTAGAATCGTGGTAACAAGAACTGGTAACATTTTTTGGTAATAAAATTTTCCGGTTATAAAATCTTTGTAATGCAGCGTTTTTGCTGCATTTAAAACGCAACATTTAGCACTTTCGAAAATATGTATTCGAAGAGCGTTCATGCTATCGCAGTTAGCAAATGTACATTCACGAGAGTTTCGAAATCGAATGCGTTTGACAAACAGCCGTGTTCCAGTCGCTTATTTAGATCCTTATCTATTACGATCAATTCTCCCTACTGAAAAGGAAAAAATAAATTTTCAACCAAAAATTCAATACAAAAACTTGAATTTTTTTCAACATAACCAAACATTTGTTTGTGTATATATTTCGATGCTGTCAATTACAATTTCCTCGCCAAATTTCCTCCAAACCCCCCATTCAAAAGGGGACAGTCTCACTTTACGAAAAGCCACACCCCCCTTCGGGGCCTCCCACAGACCCTTATGGTAATTTCCGAATTTTACAAAAAAAGGCATATTTCAAACCTAATTTGTAAATAAATTAGTGACCAAAAATTACAAAAGTAGGTAATGTGTAAAGTAAAATAATGTGTAGAACTTGACTACAAGTGTGTGCAATGTTTTTTTTGGATCGGGTCACCCCTTTGGACGCAATACCTCAAAATAGTTAGGCCACGTACTAAAGAGTACCCAAAGAAAATCAATTTCTTATATCGTTGATAAATAATATGAAGAGATGAAGAGCAAAGGGCCTAATATACCCCCTGGGGTACCCCAGAAGAGGCTGCGTTTTTTCAACTAATCGCCTTTGAAAGTTGAAAAATGCAAACACTGCTTAAGATTACAAGCTTTTGCAAACGCATTAGAGTACTTCATTTAATCAGTGTTGCTGAGTACTTTAATTAACTGAAATAATTGTCATATACTTCAATTGTTTTAAAAATGAACAGTTTTTCGCATTATACATTAGATCCAAGGATTATAATTTATTCAATAAATTGGTAGATTCTTCAAAATTACTCAAATTATATTAAAAATTCTGTTAAAAATTAAAGAGACAGTACAGGGTTGATTTAAGTGTGCGAGCATTTTACGCACAAACACAACAGCCCTGTTGTCTTCGTCCAAGAATTTTTGAAGTGCTTTTTGGACAGCCGAGTACATGAGTTCATCGAGGGATCGTAGTGAAAATATTAAAGAAAAACTGAAACAAAACAATAAAATATTTGTAAAAGGACATAAACGCGATACATTGTATACATATATTGCTTGTGTTAAAGTCAAAAGTGTGAAAGATGGCTTAAAAACGTAACCGGCCAAAAAGTTG